GGATACTTATCTGATGCCCTCCAAGAGTTAAGTAAGATATGTATTTTTTGGAATATTTATTCCATCTTTTTATGTTGATGCACGGTGGGGGGGGGGGGAGCTAATTGGTTGAGAGATATTGACTGGATATTCGGATGACCTTATTTCTTCTAACTGTTTTAAGATGTTCATATTTGAGCAAGAATCAAAGTGAATTTACAATTCTGAACTATGAAATACGTAGTTTTGAAATCTATTTTTCCCTTCGCTCGGCATGACCAGGTGGTTAGGGCTCTCGACTCGCAATTTGAGGGTCGCGGGTTCGAATCCCTGTCACACCAAACATGCTCGCTCTTTCAGCCGTGAGGGCGTTATAATGTGACGGTCAATCTCACTATTCGTTGGTAAAAGAGTAGCCCAAGAGTTGGCAGTGGGTGGTGATGACTAGCTGCCTTCCCTCTAGTCTTACACTGCTAAATTAGGGACGGCTAACGCAGATAGCCCTCGTGTAGCTTTGCGTGAAATTCAAAACAAACAAACTATCCCCCCCAGTGACACAGTGGTATGTCTGCTGACTTACAACGCTAGAAACCGGGTTTCTATACCCGTAGTGGGCAGATCACAGATATCCCATTGTGTAGCTTTGTGCGTAACTTCAAACAAATTATTTTTACCAAAAGATTAATTAATCGTTTTATATTCATGATTTTCATTTAGATGAATAACATTATTTTGCATTCTGAAGTAAAATTCATATTATGGCGCTGTTAAAGCATGAGAAGGTCGAGTTTGGCAGAAAAGGTTGGCTCCAGCGAAAGTTTGCTGGCAAATTTAATGCACACCATCCAGAGAAGATCAGGGACACCGAAAATAACAACGAATTCGACGAGTGTCGCACCATTTACAATATTCTTCGGAACGTTCAAAGAAAATGAAAATACTGTCTCCAAACTGGTTCGAATTACAACGACAGCATGTGGAACACATTCTGTAAAGTTCGTTGAAATTCCTATGGTTGCAGTCTTGTCGTACACCCTGTATATACTATCACAGGTTAATTGTGGCGAAATGCTACAAGTTCTCCAAATAGCTATAGAATGATAGGTTTCTTTTTTTGTGAGTGTAAAACACTTAAATATACCATTTCGATTTTCGATACCTCATTACTATAAAGGCTTGGTTTGGTCTGATATCTCATTGGTGGTAGTGTCCAGGGTCACTGATGAGGAGTGCAATTCTCCGAAACTAGTCTGGCTCAAGACACACCCCCCAATGAAAGAATAGACCATTCCAAGCTTTTACTTGTTGTTAAACAAATGTTTAAACAACTATCTTTATTAAATTATGTACCAGCTGCCCAGTGTCGGCTAACAATACGAAGAATTAAATTGTGGCGAAATGCTACAAGTTATTCAAATACCTATAGAATGATAGGTTTCTTTTTGTGAGTGTAAAACACTTAAATACACCAGATCTATAGTTGTTTTATCGTAAATTGCATCTCCAGTATATATCTGCTAGAAGGTATGTTATAATTCACTATGTTACAAGGATTATGTCAAAATAACAGCACACGTAACTTGTGCCGCTGGAAAACCAATTGACATCAAACGAAACTTGTTTTTCTTATGTATTCCATAAGTAGAAGACAGAATAGATATCAATTTATTCAGATATATGGTAAAGTCATTTCAAGGAAAGCGAACTGATTTATCACACATTTAATTGGAATTCCGCAAAGCTGTGAATTAGCAAAGTTCCAGGCATACACTGAGAGTTACAGGTTCAATAGCTCCTTCATAACAATGTGTAACTTATGTAAAAGACATACAGAATTAATTGTACGACCTGTCTAACAGTAAACAATAAAATTAATTAATTTGAATTTAGAAACTAATAAAATATGGGATATTTAATATTGAAATAGTTTGCTCGGAAGTTTAGCAACACTTGTGATTTAAGCTTGCGTGCTTAGAATTTTTATTACGTTAATTACTGGCAATTCTTCACAAGCTTTAAACTACGAGTTTGAGATCTTCATCGGGTTTACAAGAAGAAATTTGTAATGGCTTTGTATTGTTCTCGTTGTTCTTCCAAGCCATCACGTCGTGCTTTATAAAACAGTGCCTAATTAAATCAGAATGATTATTTGGTAAACACGCTATCAGATTATATCAAATAATTTCATACCTAATTAACTGTCTATTTAATTTACAATCTGCTTTGATAAATCACTTACCTTCATCTTTAACAGCGAAGTTCTTAATTTTATGAACCCGAGTTTTGTTTTGTCACTTTCAATAGCATTGATTACAATCATTTCAAAAATCAAAGCTTAATCATATGATATCATGATTTTTAGGCCATTTAAAATAATGTCATACGTTATGAAGTAGCGAATGAAATACTTCTACGTTTAAGTTTTAAGTTAAAGAGAAGTTTAGAATTTTTCATGTACTAACCTATGTATGCTCATCTTTGATAACCATGTAAAAATTTCGAACTCTGCTCCTTTTTAACATTCAACACGATTGTGTTTTTTCAACAGCAAGCAAAACAGTTTGATGGTTACAAGATGAAAATATTTATCTCTTACATCGAGAATCCTCATAGAATATGGTTGTTTAGATCAAACAAATCACATATCAAAGCAGAATGTTTACATACCTTCATCAACGGCGCACAGAGGTCCTACCCAAGCTCCATCCGTGCATCTAATTTTACAAACACGTTTGTATCCAAAAGGCCCAATAATTCCAAAAAACTGGACCTCTTGGATACTTCCAAAGTCTATTCCACCTCTATCTAGCATTCTGGAGCCATTCACCACGACTTCTGGCTGTGAGCATCCACCCAAGGTGCGGAAACCATCAGCTACTGAAAAACAACAACAATAGCTTATCACATTACAATATCACTATACTGTATTCCTTGTAATACTTGATGAATTACTTCTCTTCTTTAAACTATTACAGAATCATATATTACAATCTGATTTACTTCTTGAAACTGACTACACATCCTTACATTCTTCTGACTAGTAGGCTCTTTGTGATTATTGTCTTAACCAATAACCTATTCCATTTTCTTTAAACTATAATTCTCACTTTTTTATAACATTAATCAAATATCTTCGAAACATTTCTTAAGTATTTGTAACTTTATCAAGAATTAATTGTCATTGTTAGCCCAGGATTGGGATTTTTGATACCAACTAAAATTGCTAGAATTTTTTCTGAGTGTTTTTAATTAAATCATTTCACTACCACCCCCAGTGGCCCAGCGGAAAGTCTGAAGGCTTACAACATTAAAAACCGGGTTTCGATATACATGTTGGACACAGCACAGATCGCTTAATGTATAACTTTGTGTTTAAAAACAAACAAATAACAGCTATTTTATTTATCTTTCTTTATCAATGTATGTATATTAGTTTTTAAGTTATCCACTGCACTTTATTTCTGAATTCTATAGTTGGCTTACAGTTGATCAAAAGTTCTCAATTATTTCGACGTTACTTGTCGTCGCTTAAAAATAAGCAGAACACGCATACTACCAAACCACCACTCATGTATATACAGAGGGCGTGTCACAATATCATAGCAAAGCATTCTGGTAATATTGAAACAAGTACACTTAAACACATGCTAAGTAAAACTTGAAAACCCTCTCATATAGTATTTGAACAAGGGGAGCAGTCTAAAGGGAGTTTTTTTCATATATAGAGAGCATTTACGAAATGTGACAATTTTATGAGATAGTGGTTTACATAGACGAGTAAAGATTAGAATTATAATTACTACGTATCATATCAAGAATATGAAATAAGCAAAGTTAATGGACAATAAATAGTCATCAAGGAAGACATATAATAGAAAGAGTGCATTGAAATAATGATTAAAAGTATAGTTGTATACACAGTTAAAATTTAGAGATATATGAGCGGGAATTATAGAAGAAGTACTGAGTTTTTTTACGATATTTCATCAACGTTATTGTACAATAAACATTTGTTTTTACTTCATTTGGCATGCTGGTTTCATATGACGGTACAGCGGAGAAAAGCCAACCGAGATTTCGTCTTAACAATACAGAAGAAGAGATGTCTTAAGATTTTGTACCGATATATTTCCATTATATTTTATTGATCGGGCAAACTAATGTTTTAAGGAAAACGAAACGATCTCCTACTGTTAATTAACTGTGTATATTTTTTGGGCGCATTTTTGTGACTTACTGAAGATAACGAAAAACGGATTTAAGTAAAATAATAACAAAGCGAAATCACGCTTTGAACGCCCTCACCTCTGAAACAAAAGAAAAAAAAACTCAATTTATCAAATATCTGTTCGGCCATCGATACTAATTGTTATACGTTTTAAATATGTGTATGAGTGCTTTCAGTTTGTTTTTTGTTAAAAAGAATATCGTGGGAACGGATTGAAAATTACGAATCCTTGAATTCGTAGTCAGAGCACGTTACTCACTAGGCCACTGAGAGACTTGAACAACCAAAATTAATCTCAGTCACTCAGATAATATTCAGATTTTGTTTCAGTTCTACAACTCAGTTAAAAGGCTGAGTTATTGGATAAGGAGAATTATAGTTATTTAAAGATGAAAAACAAACAAACGATGAAATAGTGTTGGTTTAGGTTTAAGATGGATAACAGTGACGTAACGTCAGATATGATTTATGTGCTTTGATGCTATGTAAGTTCCCACATTAGTGTGTGAGGATGTGAGTAACTTAAGTTACTGAGAAAGATTTATACTCTAGTGTTCGTACCATGAGTATTTTTGCCTTCACGTTATAATCTAAATGCTAATATATCATCACACTTAGAGCTTCTAAATGTTAACCTAATTAGGAGAGCAGCACGAAACATATAAGCACATACACATGGTAGGCAATCAAAATGTCATTGTGTTTAGTTTCTACATTTTGAAATTACTAACGGAATAAATGAATACGAATTACAGGGCTGGATACTACTTTGTTGTTAGATATATCACGGTTAAATGCTTAACTGGACTGCGTATAGTTATGGAAATTATTTCAAGAGAGCAGAATCTAAGTAGATTTAAATATAAAGTAAATTTAATAGTTACTCGCTCTTACATTGTTAAATCATATAACACAAGAACTTTGTAAAGTGGCAGTTAATAATTAGAGCTTTCGAAACTTCAATAAAATCAACGGTTAATATACAGAATCTGTTAACGTCACTTATAAGTTGGCAGCTAGTAAACAGAATCTATGTAACTTTATTAAAGTCAGCAGTTATTTTTCAAAACGTATGTAACTTTATTAAAGTCAGCAGTTATTTTTCAAAACTTATGTAACTTTATTAAAGTCAGCAGTTATTTTTCAAAACTTATGTAACTTTGTTAAAGTCAGCAGTTATTTTTCAAACTTATGTAACTTTATTAAAGTCAGCAGTTATTTTTCAAAACTTATGTAAATTCTCTGAAGCTCGCAGTTAATATATAGAACATGTGTAGCTTAACTAAAGCCGCATTGCATTAAAAGTATACATTCAAATAAATATCAATCATTTAAGGAAATTATAGCACCGATTAAGAACTTTAATGTGGAAAAGAAACACAAATTGAAGTTGAATAAGTTAGTGAGTATCAGTATACAATTATTGAATAAGTTAGTGAGTATCAGTATACAATTATTGAATATTCGTAACTAATTGGCTTTTCTTCAATAAAGATGCTGTCGTATTAACATCCTACAAAATAATTCACTTTAGAATTCATTTATATACACACATGTGGTTTTTCGTGTGTGACACATAGATATATAAAAACAGTATTTAACACATACACAGAAGCAACAATTTAAGCATTTTGCTTACTACTAACAATTCAAGTAAGTGAACTAAAAGTTACGTTGTATGAACTGAACTTAAATTTTACTCTTTAGTTCCATTCAAGCCTAGGGTGTTTTCAGTATTTCTTCCTTTTATTTATCGATTTAGTGAATCAACCCTTGTCACATTGTTTTACAATTCCTAAGTAGTATTAACCATTGAAGTCTAGATGAAGAGATGTAGAAATCCAACATCACATCCATCAAAATAAGAGTAATCCTAACAGAAACTGGCGAAACTCATGATAAGCCTAGTGTGTGTCATTTTCAAGCACGTATATTTAGCTTCAAAGACAATCTCATCAAGCTATTAAGTCAGAGGTAGTGAGAAAAGTGACAAGGAGATCATTTTTCGAGAACCGGTTAGGGCTAAAGACTGGTCTCTGCAAAGTCCTTTGTCCTTCAGCAGATATATTTCAATACACACTTAAATAATTTATCACTCGACAGTAAAATATGACTGGAAAGTACGGACTTATTTATGAAATGAAAATAAATCTGTGCAATATTTTATACTGACAAAAGCTAAAGAGCAACATATCTCACATCAGTCCTTTTGTTGTAAGGAGGATCTACATGATATTTCAGGTCTATATAGACTTCCGCCATTAAAATTTATCCAAAAACATTTTATAAATTGTTGATAAATATTATTATTACATAAAATACATAAAACGTTTTTTTTTTAATTTATGTTTTCAAAAGATTTCCATTAAAGTCGCTTACATCGTAAACTAGGAAGGATGTGTGTATAGATTTTTAATTTTTACGTGAAACTTTTGTTTGTTGCTAAGTGCAAAGCTACTTAACGAGTTATCTGTGCTCTGCTAATCCTCGGTATTTAAACCCTAATTTTAGCATCATACGCCCTCAAAATTACTGATGAGTCATCGGGGTTCATCACACAAGATAGAGAATAGAAGTTGTATAAATCACTATATAAATAATTAAGCAGGTAGATTGGATTTGTGTGCTAGTTTGTGTTTCAGCTACAAAATGGGGTATCTGCGCTGTTCTCACTGCGGGTATCGAGCACCTATTTCTTGCGTTATAGGCACTCAAGCTTACCGCTGAGCGACAAGTGGGCAGTATATTGGGAAAGGGCCCTTCAGGTAATCATCAAATAAAAACTCACATGAAGGAAAATAAGGCTTCCTACTCTATTTCTAGATGGTATTTCGAACAAATTGTTTCAAGCTGCTAATCAAGTCACATAGAAACCGAAGTTATTATATCAACCTATTATAGCTGTTAACCATTCCCAACCAAAACCAAAGTGAATGCAACCATAATTATCAATCATTCCCACCAGGAAACGTAGAATAATAACACTAGGTTTATCGACCACCAGGAAAAGTAAATAAGATTTTTACTACCGATATTCACTATCAGGGTAGAAACCGAAGTTATTATACCAACCTATTATAGCTGTTAACCATTCCCAACCAAAACCAAAGTGAATGCAACCATAATTATCAATTATTCCCACCAGTAAAAGTAGAATAATAACACTAGGTTTATCGACCACCAGGAAAAGTCAATAAGATTTTTACTACCGATATTCACTATCAGGGTAGAAACCGAAGTTA